GGGAAAAGAGTAACACGTGTAGCACTGGCTGTTACGTCAAGGAATACGGCATGTTTTTTTTATGAGTAAACCTCTAATGTTACTATTTCCATTACAATTTAACCTTGTAACGTACTGAGATATGCTTGGCAAATATTGTAAATATTTTATCAAGATCTCGTTTTTATGGTTGAACTGAACGAGGTAAAGTAATCTACTGTTTTAATAAGCCTGTTTATAGAAAGCTAATAATGATATCCGCTTATAACCTTATCAAATCAGTTCAATACTGTTCGCTTTAGGTAAGGCAAGAATTTAAATTTCCACCTTCGGGTCACTATCCCTTTGTTACAAGTAGCAGTTGACGTATGATGCTTAAAATCTCATATTATAGCCACTGGGTTATACCAGAAAGTGCTACAGAGTCTGTCCAAATATTCGCCACTCCCTTAAAGCGTACACTCTTAAGATTTTGTCGCCACAGACGTGTTCGAGTGGACGTTGAATTTTCGCCTATCGCGATAAAAGTGTCTTCTCTCAGCAAGGCCCCGTGACATGAGAGCCTATTGAGATAAAACTCAGCCCAGACTTCAGGTGGAACATATTATACGATCTCTGGCTAAAGATGCTGGTTCTCTTCACCGCTTAAGGAAGTATCTGACACCTCCTGTTATCCTCTACCTTTGCAAGGGCCAGATCGGGCTGAAAATGGGGTACTGTTACCCAGTCTCGATAAACTCCAAACAATACTTTTCCTTGTGGGTGATGAAATATTCATCGCTATTTCCAAGGAAAAGTGTTCAACCCAAACTATTCTCGTTCAACCAGTTCAAACGTCACGGCTAAGACCCGGTATGCCACGCCCATTATAGTGACCCCCTCCCTCATTCCCTTTGTATTTCATTGGTAAGAAGCAAGTTCCACTCGGGTAGCTTCTTCCCACTAACCGTTGTGGAACCAACTCCCAGGGGTATGCATTCCCGATCGTGACAATCGTATAAACACGTACTTCTTTTACTAAATATGTGACCCTCTAGCATGAGTGTCTCTTGGAGATTTTATAGGCCGAACATTTTTGTAAAAAGAAAAAAAAAAAAGAAAATCAGCCTCACAAACACGTTGTACACGTATTAAAATACTGAAGAAAGATATGGCACACTCACTATGCAGTGGACTCAGTCACGCATGCGTAAGAGTATGCGCAGTAAAATCAACAAAAAGTAAACTCCAGTTTACGCGTCAATTCGTAAAGCCACACGCGTTGGCAAGGGATACAATTAGCGCCTGAGTGAACACTGAAATAATTTTACACCAAACAAAAAAGACTTTTTGTTTTTGTATTACTACGGTTTTTTGTTTTGATAAACATGTTATCTTGATATTTTTCTGTACTGTGTATACTGAGTTATATAAATATTAAAAGAGCAAATAAAAAAAACTCTCGTCATTACAACTTTTATATATATATATATATATATATATATATATATAACAGAACAAAGTTGTCTTAGATAAAACAAGACCCTGATAACATTTGCTAACTTCGAAAGTACTCGGAATAAATGAATATATATTAATATGGAAACATTCTTCCTTCCTTTAATAAGGATACTAAGAAGCTTGTCCGTGAATATGAGAGGAGGTGATCATATTAAAAATAAATAGATGAAACTTGTCTAAAATATTTAATGTGACATGCCTCAATGAAAGCATGATGCCAAAATATACGCAGTGTATATATATATATAGGAAGCACGGTGGAGTAATAGATAGCGGCTTGGGTTGAGGAATCGCAGAGCCGAGTTCGAATTCCACTCGAATCCATTACATTCACTTACGTGCTAATACCCTTGGGAAAGGTATGAATCCTCTTCTTCTCCCTCCAGCTATGGGTAAAATAGCTATAGCCTTGGATGGCAACTGGTCTAGGAGAAGGACAGCTCTGAATTCAAAACCTGCAGAGGGTCGTTTGGGAACCTTGTGGCACTTAGTGCGCCAGGTCTCTGTATTCGGCCCTTCAAAAAGTGTGGATGGTCCTGCACGAAACCTTCACCACTATAATCAAATCTCATGTGTTGTTGTCGGGCTGTCGGTTTCCTGGAAACTTATCTGCTTGACCCTCATACGTCGACCTCGACGGGAGAGTCGACTATATATATATATATATATATATATATATATATATATATATATAGAGAGAGAGAGAGAGAGAGAGAGAGAGAACAAAAGAAGAGACAGTAGATGACGTTATATTTAAAGTTAACTACAAAGCATGGAGCCGAAAGGGAATTCCACAAGCGAGAAGTGCGAGTAAAGAAGCTGTTAGCCCAGAATTGACGGTTCCATCTTGCCAATGAGACTTCGTCACGTCTGCTACTGCGATTAAATTCAAAGAATTCTAGGCACCATTGCGAAGAGCTTATCCGAGCACTTACCATGAAGTATTTATCTAGAAAGATCCTAGTATTAGGTAAAGTATCCTAGAATTAGGTCTCTCCACGATTTCCTGTGCTTTGTAGCACAGGAAATCGTGGAGAGACCTAATTCTTAGAGCTTGTATAAATGGTTTGCCGAGCAATGTGTAGGAGAGATAGCAGAAAGACATAATTTACGAAGAGCTACAAAGAACGGGAAATTGTGGAGAGTCATGTTCAACAACTTCAATTACTCATCAGAGAAAACGTTTGTATCTAGCTGATAATTTATACATTTCTGGACGCCATTTTTTATATCCATAATGGAGTCTAGATCGGTCGCTGTTATTTAAGAAAATGAATTATGTTTTTATATAAATATTTTGAATGTGAAGCATCTTGTGTTGTTGGACAAACGTACCCCCAAACAAAGCCTCCCCATGCTCAAATGATGGAAGATTACTTATAAAATCTTTTATTGGTGAATGGGTATTATGATGAAGCTTAGTTGAATCATTATTATCTCTTTCCAGTTCCATGTGCTATCTATTTTATTTGTTGCTACTGTTGGAAGTTTTCAAGTAATGTGGTTTCCTTTATTTGGTAATGTTCTTTGTGATTATGTAACGCAAAATATATGATACTGTCACATTAATGATCTCGTAACGACCTAAAATGGAGTGTGGCTGCCATATCTTCCCAAGCCTTTCTTTCCAGCCTCAAAAGAAGAATAAAAAAAAGAAGAACAAATAGAATCAAAAGAAAGAGAAGGAGGAGGAGAAATCATCATCATCATCTTGCGGCCTCAGCCGAGATTGAACTCACCAATACTTTGATTGATGTAGTTCATAATCTTGTCAAATAGCTGAATTCTTGATGCTTCGCTAGGGCTATCAAGGGTGTTTTTATCGTGACACCATCACTAAATGGATTGCCAACCAAGGCTCAGAGAGACTCCATTCACCCTCCTCTCTAAAAGCAGGTTTAAATTCAGAGTTTTCCTTCTCCTAGACCAGTTGCCATCCAAGGCTATAGAACCCAGTCTGTCCTGGAGGGGGAGGAGGAGAAAAAGGAGGCGAAGTAGAAAAGAATAATAAGAAGAATGTAGTGTGACGTAAGAAGAAGCACAAGAAAGAAAGAAAGAAAGAAAGAAAGAAAGAAAGAAAGAAAGAAAGAAAGAAAGAAAGAACAACAACAACAACAAAATCAAGAACAAAAACAAGAAGAATTTAGCCTGACATGAGGTAAGCGACTATGACCAAACATTTATATTATTATTCGGTTGAGAGAGTTCGGACAAAGATGAGTCTATCACTCCAGCCGTCATCGGTTCTGCATCAAGGTCGCAGAATCATTAGATGGGCAAGCTGTGTCATAACATAGCTGGTCAATGAAGGTGGCTGCTAGACGACCAGCCGGACTTGCGTCGTCGCTAGGTGCCCAGGACAGTAGATCACTCGCAAGTTCTTCTGTTGTTCGCCAGCAGTGTCCTGCAAAGCGCATTCCACGTTCGCGTAAGATTGTAGAACTATCATGGCTGGCTCCACAGAGCTGTGATTCAGTTGAATACACTCTAATATAAGGTTAACTAAGAGAAGACTTTTTCATACCGTAGAGCTTAGTAACACGAATTTTCATTCATTCATTTCTTTCTTTCTTTCTTTCTTTCTTTCTTTCTTTTCTTTCTTTCTTTAACTTTCTTTCTTTATGAAATCGGGGCCTTTCAATTATTCGTTTCAAGGAACAATTACAAAATGTCTCTTTTGCATATCAGGAGTGACGGCATCATCAAACAAATTTAAGTACAATGGGACACAAAACCCCATAACAGTACTGAAAGAACACTTCCAGAACCTAAGCAAAGTATTCCGATATAGGAAAATAGTTTCGTTTCAAACAAAGAAAACAGTACTGAAATGCTGTCAGATTTATCATTCTGTGTAGAGAATAAAAAATTAACGTCACAAACAAATAACGCGTCTTTTTGTTTTTATTTCATGAGCCAATCGCAATTTCTGGCCATCGGATAATTCTAAAAACCTTTCTCGCATCCTTTGTTTGTTGTTTTGTTTAAAAACATAGGCGAGATAACAAAGAAGGTGAGTTTAATTTGGACAGGCGGTCGGTACTGACGAGTCACGCATTACGCTTTATAATTAAAACTGTGAAATATATTAGTATGAAACGAGCAAAGTTTTTGCACTTCAGGAAACACACGCCGAAAAAGTGTGTGTGTATGGGGGGATGAATGTGTGTTTGCTTCAGAGAGAGAAAGAGAGATTGAGAGATTCTGAAAATAGGTACGTGTTTAATGGAATGTTTGGATCTGCAGAGGTAATAAATGTAATCAGTGGGCGTAGGAAATTTGGCTCGCAAGGGAATCAAAGGCGAAAAAGTTGGGGGGGAGGGGAAATTAAATAATATTAGATAAAAAAAAAAAACCTAAAAAAACAAACTAATAAGTGAAAACAAAAATGAATATTTAGATAAAAATACTGACGAAAACACATATAGGAAGACAAGATGGACGTTTTCAAAAATGATTTCAGTATATTGAGATCTTGCTCTGGGAAATACATTAAAGCAAGTAATCGTGTAAAGCAGAAATTAGACCGTGGCCTTTGTCAGAACTGGGCAGAATACTTTCGGTAAGAGAGAGAGAGGGGGGGAGAGGGGGGAACGAGAGGGGGGAGAGGGGGGGAGAGAGAGAGGGAGAGTAGGTGTGTGTGTGTGTGTGTATGTAAAGAGACAGAAAATAAAACACACACGGTGAAATAGAGAGACAGAGAGAAACAAAAAGAGATAAATTATAAGTGAGAGGAATAAAAAAAAGAGGGGGAGATAAAAAAAAAAAAAAAAACAATGAAAAGAGAGAAAGAGAAACAAAGACAGATAAGAGAGAGACACCAAGATAGAAATGAGAGAGAGGCAAAACAAAAGAAAGAAAGAAAAAAAAGGAAAGAAATGACGTAAGGAAGAAAAAGAAAAGATGAGACAAAACAAAAGAGAAAGAAAGAAAGAAAGAAAGAAAGAAAGAAAGAAAGAAAGAAAGAAAGATTGAAAGACAGAAAAAGAGACCAAGGAAAAGCGAAATGAAGAAAGATAAAAGAGACAACGGAAAGGTGAAAGACAGAATGAAGGTAAGAAAGAATTGACAACGGAACAGCTAAAGAACAAAAGAAAGAAGACACAAATGAAATGCGAAAGAAAGAAAGAAGGAAAGAAAGAAGGAAAGAAAGACAGACGTGAGAAAGGAAGAACGGAAGAAATGAATAAAGAAATCTCAAAGGAAAAGCGAAAGAAAGAAAGAAAGAGGAGAAGAAGGAAAAGCGAAATAAATAAAGAAAAAATACAGAAAGAAGAGACGAGGGAAAAGCGAAAGAAAGAAACAAACAAACAAACAAAGTAAGAAAGAAAGAAAATAAAAACGAAAGAGACGAAGGTAAAGCCAAAGAAATAAATAAAAAAAAAGACAGAAAAAAGAGACGAAGAAACAGCGAAAGAAAGAAAGAAAGAAAGAAAGAAAGAAAGAAAGAAAGAAAAAAACTAAAAAAGAGACGGGGTAAAGTGAGAGAAATAAAGAAAATAGAAAGAAATGAGACGAAGAAAAAGCGAAAAAAGAAAGAAAGAATGAAAGAAAGAAAGAAAGAAAGAAAGAAAGAAAGAAAGAAAGAAAGAAAAAAGAAAGAAAAAAAAAAAAGAGACGGAGGTAAAAGGATAGAAATAAAGAAAAATAGAAAGAAATGAGACGAAGAAAAGCGAAAAAAAGAAAGAAAGAATGAAAGAAAAAAAGAAAGAAAGAAAGAAAGAAAGAAAGAAAAAAAAAGAGACGGAGGTAAAGTGATAAAAAATAAAGAAAATAGAAAGAAATGAGACGAAGAAAAAGCGAAAAAAGAAAGAAAGAAAGAAAGAAAGAAAGAAAGAAAGAAAGAAAGAAAGAAAGAAAGAAACTAAAAAAGAGACGGGGAAAAGAGAGAAATAAAGAAAATGAGAAAGAAATGAGACGAAGAAAAAGAAAAAAAAGAAAAAGAAAGAAAGAAAGAAAGAAAGAAAGAAAGAAAGAAAGAAAGAAAAAAAAAGAGACGGGGTAAAAAAGAAATAAAGAAAATAGAAAGAAATGAGAAAGAAAAATGAAAAAGAAAGAAAAAAAAAAAAAAAAAGACGGAGGTAAAGTGATGAAATAAAAAAAAAAAGAAAAAAAAGACGAAAAAAAAGAAAAAAGAAAGAAAGAAAGAAAAAAGAAAGAAAGAAAGAAAAAGAAAGAAAGAAAGAAACTAAAAAAGAGAAAGGGGAAAGAAAGAAAGAAAAAAAGAAAAAGAAAGAAATGAGACGAAAAAAAAAAAAAAAAAGAAAGAAAGAAAGAAAGAAACTAAAAAAGAGACGAAAGGTAAAAGTGATAGAAATAAAAAAAAAGAAAGAAAAAGACGAAGAAAAAAAAGAAAGAAAGAATGGAAAGAAAGAAAGAAAGAAAGAAAGAAAGAAAAAAAAAAAAGAAAGAAAGAAACTAAAAAAGAAAAAATTGAGAAAATAAAAAGAAAATAGAAAGAAATGAGACGAAAAGAAAGAAAGAAAGAAAAAAAGAAAGAAAGAAAGAAAGAAAGAAAGAAAGAAACTAAAAAAGAGACGGAGGTAAAGTGATAGAAATAAAGAAAATAGAAAGAAATGAGACGAAGAAAAAGCGAAAAAAGAAAGAAAGAAAGAAAGAAACTAAAAAAGAGACGGAGGTAAAGTGAGAGAAATAAAGAAAATAGAAAGAAATGAGAAGAAAAAAAGAGAAAGAAAAAAAAAAAAGAAAAAAAAAAAAGAAACGGAGGGAAAAAGTGAGAGAAATAAAGAAAATAGAAAGAAATGAGACGAAGAAAAAGAAAAAAAAAAAAAAAGAAAGAAAGAAAGAAAGAAAAAAAGAAAGAAAGAATTTAAAGAAAGAAAAAAAAAAGAGACGGAGGTAAAAGAAATGAAATAAAGAAAAAGAAAAAAAAAAGAAAAAAAAAAAAGAAAGAAAGAAAGAAAGAAAGAAAGAAAGAAAGAAAGAAAGAAAAAAGAAAGAAGAAACAAAGGAAAAGAAGAAAAAGTGAGAGGAATATAAAGAGAGATAGAGAGAGAGGGGGCAGAGAGAGAGAGGGGAGGGAGAAAACATAGAAAAACGGAAAAAGTACCAAAAGTTTGCAGTGAAATGAAGAAATGTTAGAAATAATTTGGCTGATTTTTACAATTCAAAATGCAACCGTTACTGGGTTATTTAATGCGGAAATTTTGTGTAGCTCACCTAGTGAGGATCGAACTCCCTTCTCAGTAGTATATGGTCAAATAATTTAGCTTCACTAACAATTAATACACGCCGAGATATAGATGAGAAAGGGAGAGAGCGAGAGTAACAAGAAAGAGTGAAAGAAAAAGACATGAAGGGAGAGAAAACAGAGATATGAAAAAGAGAGAAATATGCGAAGAAAAGAGAGAAGAACAAAGAAAGAAATGTCCTTGAGAGGAAAAGAGACAAAAATAAAATAAAATAAAATAAAATAATGATAAAGTAACTTGCAAGAAAAGTAACAATGTTTCCCGCGCCGATAAAGCCGCTTGCGGCTATAATAAAATAAACTAATTTATTTTAAAAAAATTACATCATATTGTGGGAGGAGAACAAAAGAAAATGGCGCCATATTTTTCGAAAGAATACTCACGAATTTCTGGCGTCCATTTTCTTTTTCTTTTTTTTTTTTGTCTCTGACCTCAGGGAAAGAGCATTCTTTTTTTTTTTTTTTTCACTTTTCTCTCCACGACGTATTGAATAACCAATCCAGCCATAGAGTGAAGGACACATCACGTTGTAACATCGGTTCCACTTGGGAATACCAGGGGCTGTATGCTTGGATGTACAGTTGATGTAATGAATAATAGATCGGAATTGTTAATCGGGGAGCTAAGTTTCGATTCCAGTTAGGTTCGATATATTCCCTTACGCCCGGATACCCTTGGACAAGATATATATCTACCTTTTCTCCCCTTAGCAATGGGTTAATTAGTAAAATTCTATCAGTAAATCTATTATTATCTCCAAATAAAATTACCTAAAAAACTATTTAAATTTCGGCATTATATAACCCATAGAAGTGTTGATATGCCGCTAAACACAAACGATCAAGCATATAGGAAAACGTAAAATTTCAATTTCTAAAGTATAAAATGCCTATTTAAGCATTTTATACTCTTTAAAAAAAATTATATGGTCGTTAATCTTATTTGAATCTCTTTCTCTCTATATAAGTCTTTTTCGGGTTATGGTTCTCCACAGCTTCCTTAGTAATTCTTGCTTCTTTAAGTTCTTTTCTTCCGCTTTCCACCTCTTCTCATTGCATTCAGTATGCTCTGTGTGTGTTAGATTCTCCAAGCCTTCTTTCCTCATTATATGCGTACAAAGTTTCAGCTGCCTCTTCCTAGCATCAGTTTGTAGCCTATATTCGTAATTTTTCAAATCCTTCCAGCGTCGCATGATCTGTGTATCTCTCTTCCTTCGTCTCTATCTTCATCTATAAGGAAATTAGTTGCGATTCATCGCTATGTAGTTCATCACTCTAATTTGGGCTTTGTTCCTAAGGTTTTTTTTTTTCGATATCTTAATACTTTTCTCAGGTTCATAAGGTATTTTTCGATATTCCACCTTTGAATTTCTCTATCATTCTGTTGACGTTTATTACTACATTATTCATGTGGCTTAATATCTGCATATGGTTAATTTTGACATCCTCGTTACACCTTGCATTGCCCCTTTTACTGACAACCATAGTTTGGTTTGGTTTATTTTATTTTACGTTATATCAACCTCGATGTGTTATTTAATGCCGACAAAAAATTTAGGATAGGTTCGTAAGAATAAAATATGTATTCTTTGTAAGAAATCAGTTTGTAGATCAGATTTTATTGACATGTTTTTGTAAATTGTTTATTTATTTATTTTTTTTTTGTAGAAACTCTGGTTTAGTTTGGTTTATTTTATTTTACGGTATATCAACCGCAATAGGTGATTTAATGCCGACAAGAAATTTAGGATAGGTTCGTAAGAATAGAATATGTATTCTTTGTAAGAAATCAGTTTGTAGATCAGATTTTATTGACGTATTTTTGTAAAGTTTTTTTTTTTTTTTGTAGAAACTCTGGTTTAGTTTGGTTTATTTTATTTTACGGTATATCAACCGCAATAGGTTATTTAATGCCGACAAGAAATTTAGGATAAGTTAGTAGGAATAGAATATCTATTCTTTGTGAGAAATCTGTTTTTAGATCAGGTTTCGTTGATGGGTTTTTTAGAGAGTCTGATTTAGTTTGGAATATTTTGTTTTACGGTATATCAACCTCAATGGGTTATTTAATACCGACAAGATATTTAGGATAGGTTCGTAGGTATAGAATATGTATTCTTTGTGAGAAATCTGATTGTAGATCAGGTTTCATTTAGTAAAGTGTTTTTCTTTTGTCGTGAGTCAAATGTATTGTTGGTAAATTTTCTTTTCAAAAATGTATTGCCGATAATATATTTAAAAAAAATGTATTGCTGGTATTTTTACTACAAAAATCTATTTTTATACTTTCATATTATTTTCGCCCCAATATATATATATATATATATATATATTTTTAATTTTTTAGTCGGTATTACCCTGTGCAAAGCAGTGAAACCACTGAAACACAGGGGGCTACAGGATGTGGTAGGAACAGAAATATTAATGATGAGCAGAAAGTGAAAACAGTAATCAGGAGGATAGTTGATAACGATTGACATTTCCTTTTAAATTTTTGCTGATTACAGTGGGCTGGAAGGGTGTTTCGCAAGCTAGATGTGCGAGAAAAGACACTATTAAATAGAACTTACGGTTACACCTAGCCAGCAAAACTGTAAATTGATGATATCTCGACGCCTGTCTAGTACTGCGATTAAATTTATAATGTCTAGGTGCCATAGCGAAGAGCTTATCCGAACAATTACCATGAAAGTATTTATAGAAATAGCACAAAGATGCAACCACACGGCGATAGGTAACTGACTCAAGTCGAACCTCCAGATCAGGACCAGTAATATTGCTAATTCTTCTTTAGATCTTATCAAGGAGCTCAAGGTAAACAGCAAGGAAACCGGACTATAGGTAGCAGCAATATCCTAAGCATGGACGTATGGTAGACTTATAGATATGTAAGACAGATTCTGGAGAGAAAAATTGTCTTGCACAACACAGTGAACCGATATTCTTACCAGTTGACCTAGCAATGGATTCAATGTAGTCCATCCACTTCATGTCAGCTTAAAACGTTACCCCGGGTATTCACAATGAGTCATTTTCCTGGAGGTTAGCATCAGCCATGCTGATAGAAAGCAGAGAGAGGGTCTCTCAGATGATTCATGAAGAGAAGTTAACTTTGGGGGTTAACTATTTTTTTTCATAGCAATGGAAAACGTTAACAAGGCCACGTGCAGCAATTTTTTTAGATCAGGGTGAATAAAGGGAACAACAGCAATTAAGACAGACTTTTTGAAACCTGCCGATCAAGGCCTTTAAAATAATTTAGTTTATCGTCATACCCAGGACGCGCTATCAACCATCATTTCTGTCTTCTAACATTTTGCTTTTTAGCTTCTTTGATTTTTCATATTTGAAGAACTATAAAGGGTAAGAAATTGTGGAGAACCTGATAATCCATGTTCCGAAAGGATCTCTTCTTCTGCCGTGTCAATTCTGATCGTAGGTGATCAAGCCTCCCACTATGTCCCCACATCTTGCAGATCTTAGTAACGTTTGTTTCTTTTTACTATTAACTCCATTATTCCTAACTTCTGGAAAATCCAGGACAGAAGACTTCGACTTTTTGTTTTGCCTTTTATATGTTCCGATAAAAATATTTCCAAGCGTTTCTTCAACATTATGTGTCTGAGAAATTTTAGGTCTCACATTCAAATTATGAATTCATTTTTCAATTTTTTTTTGCAAAATTTTCATTGAATTTTCCTTATTAAAAATAATGTTTCATTTTCATTGAATTTTCAGTATTCAATTTAACCAGATTACAATATATTTAGATTTTTTGTTTATAAGATTTTAAAAAAAATGAGGAACTTGTCATTTACATTTCAAAAATTTCTTGTTTTCAAAAATAATTTACATTCAAAAGAATTAAAATTTGCACATTAATTTGTTTTTAACGAGTGATGTTTTTTAAGATATTTTTAGCTTTTTTTGTTATTTACAAAGTTTTTAATTCTTTTTTTCTAATGAAATCTTTCCTTATAAAAATTTGAATAAAATTTTAGTTAATAAATCAATTCCTTGTTTCTTTTTAAATTACAAATTAGCTTTTTTTATTTTAATAAACAAATTTTTTTTATTTAATATGAATCCTCAATGTTAGTCAGTTCAGCTTATTTCTTTAAATATAACGTTTTTTTTGCATTTTTTTAAAATAAGTTTTTACGATTTTTAGCTTTTTAATATTTAAAAAAAATTCAGCAAGATCAAAGTTTCTGAAGAAAATCTTTTTTCTTTGTTTTTCATAGCTTTTGAAATTTTCTTAAAATCAATATCCTTTGATTACTTGTTTTAACGAAATGTTTTATTTAACAGTTCATTTATAAATTTTTGTTTTTTTTGACGAAATTTCCGTTTTTTTACACTTGCTTAGCTTTTGAAGTCAGATTTTTCATATGAATTTTCTTTTTCTTAAAATTTGCTTTTTTTGAATTTTGAAACGAATAATATATTGAGAAATTTAATGAAGGAAAAGAACGAATATGCTATTAAATTACTTTTATTTCTAAAAATCCATTCTTTTTAAATTATTTTAGCTTTTATTTTAAAGAAAGATAAAATCTGGTGAATCTAAGAAATTTTGGATTTTCAGACACCATTAACACAAAAAGGAAATTGGAATTTTGTTTAGAAATGTAACAAATTTATACTTTTTTTTGGAAAATTCATTGGTTATCTTCCAAAATGAAATCATTTTTCCCTTTTGAGTTTTGTTATATTGAGTTTGTTGTATTTGATGATAACGAAATTTAAAGGGGAAAAATGTTTAATGTTTAAGAAAACAATTAAGTAATTCAAAAACTTTTTGTTTTAATTTTTCTCCGAAAAATTTTTCGAAATTCAAATATTAAGAAATTTTTTTTCTTAGCCCAAATTTTATGATGATGATTATTTTTATCATAATTATTTTTTAGTGAAGTGTTCCGTTCAGTTCCGTTTAGGTAGAAAATTTTAAAAAGTATGGCCATCAGCAAGAAGAATCATTAAGACAAATTGAATTATTTTCAAACATCATTTTTATCTTCAAAATTTAAATTTTGAGAAATATTGGGAAATGGATTGAAAAATACGACACAAAAATCCGAAGTACGCATAGATTTTATGTATTCTAAATTTCACAAAGTCCCTGAGAACCAGAAAAAAACGTTAGAAACAAAATAAAAAAAAATGTTGGATTGCTATGCAATGTCAATCATTCTTAAAGCATCTTAAATGAAAAAAATCATTCCCAAAGAAAGTGAACGCTGGAAGTAAAAGTTATGTCGTTATAAAGAAGGATACTGAGAATTGTCTTTTTATTCTTTATTTTTGGAGTGATATTTCGTAACATTTCAGTGTTCTTTTCTTTGTTTCTAATGATATATTCC